ATTGCATAGAGAGATCAGAGAAACACATGTTGTTATTTTTCTAACTGTCCCACTCTGGCGCTTTCAAAGTTTTATGAGTTAGAGGTATGTGACGCTGAAGACCCAGGGAGTCTTTGAGTGAGAAAGTCAGCGGCAAGGTGACAGGCTTGGAGGTGTGTGTGTGTGTGAGTGTGTGTGTGTGTGAGTGTGTGTGTGTGTGTGAGTGAGCGAGCACGTGTGTGCTCACCTGTGCGAGTCAGGAGGGTTTCCAGCTACTGACTTTGCCCATGCTCATTGCTTGCGAGATAATTATGTGTCTATACCGATCTCAGATACTTCTGTTTCTGTAGCAGCAGTTAGATGGAAACCACATACTCCCTGTTCCCTGACTCCTTTTCCCTCATTTGCTACCTGAACTCATTAACTAAAATCTCTGAGTCTGTGCCCAGCCCAGCGTCACAGTGGCAGCAGCATGGAGGTCCCCAAAGCACACGGTCTGAGAGCATCTCCTGGACACACACTCAACAGGGAAAGGTTTTGTCCATGTCACTAAACAAATGGTTTCATAGAAAGACTATTTTTTCTACAGGCAATTAAATGATCAGGATAGATAAGTTTTTCAGCTGAAAGAGAGATTTCAGTCTGAATGCTGGGAAAATTCTATGTAAATAGGTATAAGGTTGCATGCTCAGAGAACTTTCCAGCAGGTATATTTCCCCATACTTTGCAACCCTCCTATATTGAAATTTTCATGTTGTCTAATGCAATTGCTTTAAAAACCAAAGTAATACTGGACACCCCCATAAAGTTAATTGGCACAAAGTAGATTATCATAAAAGAAGATGGGAAGGATGAAATGAGACATTATCAAAGACCTCTCAGAATAACCGTGAAGGGAATAAGTGAAGGTATTTCTGGTTAATGGTTTATTTGGTGCAGTGATCCAGTTTCATTTTTCTGTGGCTCAATACATATTTTTAGAGAGATAAAATAATGGATAAAATTATATAGTTTTGCCCTCTTAAAATGAATAGGCAAGTAAATAGGCAATTAAAATGCTGTAGGATGTGAACTTCAGTAATACAGCATACTTGGAGGACTCGCTGTACTTGATTGAGTTTTGTGATAGAATCTAAACATAAAGAGTAGGGTTATGGCAGAAAACGTGGAATATAGAAGCCCACTCATGCACACAGAGAACCTTCCCTCTTTCCTTCCTGTTTTATTAAAGAAATACCCTTTCTCCTCCCTCTAGCCCATAAGAGGGGCTCCTGACTCAAGAAGGACCATGGTGGCTTTCTTGATGGTGTTGGCGATGAAAATGGACCTAAAGGTTAAGCAGGGAATTTGCTGAGAAGGAACTGATGGGAAGAAACACTGTGAGGAGAAGAAAGTGAGCTCAGCTCTGCACATGCTGCCTGGAAGGTGTCTCAGATACATGCTAATAATAGCTAACATTTCCACCGAGCACTGCTAATGTGTCAGACGAGTTTTAAATGTTGTCTCTAGTGCTCTCAGCAGCCTGAGGAGGTGGATATTTTTTATCACCCTTTTTACAATGAAGGGAAAATAAATATTTGTGAGTTGTTAGCTTATGGATGGCAATGGAAGCCATTGCAGCAGGTGGGGGAGGGTTGAGGTTGCCCTAGGGAGGTGCAAAGTGGAAGAAGAGAAGGGTTTATGGAAGATGCTGAGAAATAGCACCAAGTAGACAGAGGATGGACTACTGAAAAGATGGAATAAAAGCCGGGATAATGCCATGCAGTGGAAACAAGGAAACAGTTGGCAAAGAGCAAGGAGGTGTAGCCTGCAAAGAGAAGTCGGTGACTCTAAAGAATGGGTGTGGGTGCAGAGAGGGGACCTCTTCCAGGGGCCTGAACTGAGAGCAGGCAGGAAGGAAGGAGAGACAAAGAACAAAATGCATTCAAAGGCCAGTCCAAAAGGAAGGGAGAGAGAGGGCAGAGGACGAAAGCATGGGAGGGAGGGTCTTGGTTGGTTTGGATTTTGAAGGCTGGAAGAGGCCAAAGCATGTTGAAATGCTCATAGCAGTCAGGGAGAGGTTCAAACAGGAAAAGGAGAGAAAGTGATGGTACCCGTAGGAAGTTGTCCGATAGGGCAGGAGGAAGTGGGAACCAAAAGCAGATAGGGCCTTAGCTTGGGCTGGGAGGAGGGGGAAGGGGATTTTTTAATAAAGCAGGAAGGAGGGAGAAGAATGAGTTTCCTTCAGCTTCAATTGTTCTCCTCCGGAAGTTTTTATTTAGCTTAATAGAAGAAAGCACAGTTTCTAGACCAAAGAGGAGAAAAATAAGACAAGGCGAGGCGAATAAGGAAAAGACATTTTAGCTCTGACTTTTATCAAAAAAGAAATATCTGTGTGTGTGTGTGTGTCTGTCTGTCTGTCTGCCTCTCTTTCTCTCTCTCTCTCTCTCTCTCTCTCTCTCTGTGTGTGTTTGTGTGTGTCTGTCTCTGTGTGTGTGTGTCTGTCTGTCTGTCTGTCTCTCTCTCTCAATTTTATTTGGATTTTTGCCAACAATCAAATTGCCATATATATCATAAAGCATCAGTATAATAGTAGGTTTCTGCAGTCTACATTTTCTATGTAACCCCTACTCCTCACATAAGTCATATTACAAAATTCAGCCAAGTACAGCACGTCCTTGAATAACATCCTTTCATTCAACATTATTTCATTATAATGTTGATGAGGAAAATAATAGATTCCTGGCTGGGGCCACTGTGTGTGCAGTTTGCACAGTCTCCCCAAGTCTGAGTGGGGTTTTCCTGGTGACTCTGGTTTCCTCACATATTTCAAAGATGTGCACCTTCGGCTGAGGGGTGCGTCTATGTGTTTCCAGTGTGGTTGACCACGGCTGTGTGTAGGATCGTACCCCACAATGGGATGGCATCCTTCCCACGTAGATTCTGAACTGGAATAATTGCACAATAATCATCTTCCTTGTCTTTATTAATCTTTCTTAAATGTATAGCTCACATTTATTTCACTGTTTAGTTTCCATCTTTATTTAAAAGTTTGGTAACATTGTTGTAACCAGAAATATACTGTCTGAATGTAGTTCTTGAGTATTCTCAATTAGCCTATGGAAAAATTTGTTTCATTACGTGTTGTTTCCCTTAAAGTTGCAGTTTCCAAGAACCTACCGATGACATTAAATGAGTCGTCCTGCAATGAATTAGTTGACCATAACTACCCCAATGACATTGAAGTTCACTGACACGTTAAGCTGTGTTCATTTGCTTCTTGTTTAGTCAGTTCCATACCAGCTAGTAGTTGCTAACTAATTGCAAAGAGCATTTTTAAAAAAAAAATTAAAAGTGAGCATAAAATTAACATATCCTACCACCTCATTAATTTGTGTTTATGATTCGGTCAGCCCTCTTAAACATCAGAAAATATTGTCAGGATTTCCCACCTGCGTTAATATTTCAAAATCAGGGCGGTTGAAGAAGTTTGGAGGCCAGGCACAGCTTTGAAACAAACACGTCTACACCATCTCGGTTCCTGTGTTGGAATCCTTTTTGTTCTGCGTCGCCGCCAAAGTTATTTTCAGAACATCATATGGATTTTTCATTGAAACATCTGTGTTAACTTTTATTATCCCTGGTCTGCTTTGTAATTTTGGAAACAGATATAAAGAACGAGCGACCGAAAGCACAGTAATATAGTGGGAAGCATCCTTCATAAGTCAATTGAGGAATTTAATAATCTCTTTAGAAATAAGCTCTGCAGCTATGAGAAAAATGTGTGGGTTAAAGGCCTTCCAATTAAGAAAGGTTTCTCTGTGGATTTATAGGCTGGTGGTTCACTCTTCCTGTTCGTGTTTCCATAGCAACTGTCAGGTAGATTTTCTGCTACTTGCTAGGAAGTTGGAAATGTTGAGTCTGGTTGAGCTTTTTCAATTCAGTGGAGCTTAAGTGAAATTCTTTGCAAGGAACTGGCATTTAGCCTGGGTCATTTATTCATATCTAGAAGGGAAAAAAAATCAATTATAGTAATCAAATGTGCAAATTTTTTATTGGGATTATTTTTGGTACATATTTTGTGCTGTAATCTATTTTTAATGGCAGGGTACTAAAGGTTTGAAGGGCTGCAGCTGGCCTCCTCGCTATGTGACGGCTTGTGGCTTTAATTACAGCCCAAGACATAGGAAGGCATGCCTTTTTCTGGTCTCCTTTTGCAAGTTATAATCACCCCCGGTGATGTTCTAAAGCAAACTAGGATCCAAGAGACTCATTAGGTTGCGACACCTCTACCGCAGGAAATACAATGTACACCCTTTTGTTCTTTTATTTTATTTTCCTGTCCTGTTGGTTATTGGAATTAAAGCCTGGAGAAATAAATAATGTACGTGCCATTATTTAAACTTCTCGGGAGTGCATTGTCTTCATTTTCCCATTTTCCCTTCAGACGAAGCCCACATGGGCGTCGCTCACTGCGGTTCATTTCAACCCACGTTGACTGATGCCTGACAGCTCCATGTAGGATGGTCTCCTTTCATGCTCCAAAAAAAAAAAATCAAGCATGTAGGTGGCAAAGTGAGCTCCTTACATAACGTACAACACATGCCACAAAAAGGACAGACATCTAAGGGGCATTGCTTACTGCATTCTTTTGTTAGCATCTTTGCTCACTGGCACAGAAACAGAAGCGTCTACAGAAAATGTCACAGCCCTTATTTCCCACGGTGGCACTATTTTTATCTGCCCCGCTCCCCCGTGGCCATTTCTTATAAGATATATTATTTACAACAATGGCTCCGGATGCATATTTCAGTTCATTTTGTTCCATTCCTCTCTCCTTTTCTCTTGTCATCTATGTGCCACGCCTTTGCCTACTACACTGATGTTTTATAATATGTACAGCAATTGATTGTTAATAAAAATCCAAATAAAACAGAGAGAGAGAGTGAGAGAGAGATTTCTTTTTTTATATAAAAGTCAGAGCTAAAATGTCTTTTCCTTACTCGCCTCGCCTTGTCTTATTTTTTTCCTCTTTGGTCTAGAAACTGTGCTTTCTTCTATTAAGCTAAATAAAAACTTTCGGAGGAGAGCAATTGAAGCTGAAGGAAGCTCCCTCTTCAGTCGCTATACCAGGAAGTGGAAATGAAGTCGCTCGGCTCTGCTCTCAACTTTATTTACTCTAAAAGGTGGGCAATTTTCTCTTAAAAGAAATCGTACTAGGAGCTGCATGGCTCAGTCCGCGCAAGATGTATCTACACCCAGGAGCCCAGAGACAGAGACAAGTGACATTCCCAGCATTTGTCGGGATCCAAAGAGCTGGAGGGGGACTGGCCTTGCTTAGCTGCAGAAATGCATTCGAATATGCAGATGCATGGATGGATAAATCCTTTGGCCACTGCAATCACTCTGACTCAGGCTTTGACACTGGTGAACAGACCCAGTGTGGGTACAGTAATGCAGTGCAAACCTCTCGCTTTGGGGAAGCAGAAAGGCTTGGATTTAGGCCACCACTCCTAGGGGGAGAAACACCAGGCCCCCTCTCTGCTGCCGACCTGTATACACCAGGTCGGACCCTCCTCTCCTGCACCTGCTCCTCCATCCAAGCAGGTGCCTGCCCCACCCCCAGCACACTTAGGTCCCGCATGTGGTCAGGCTGGTGCCCCACCGTCTTCAGGACCACCCCAGGGGACGGAGGAGGAAGTGTGGAGAGACCACTCGCTCTGCCCCATGCTACTCCTTAGCTCAGTGTGGGTTTAATTCAGTAAAGGGTCCGGTGTCCTTGACTTCCAGGCCCTCACAGTCCCCAGTTCCTGATGCTACAGCTCCTGCTGTGTGGACTCCCAGCTTCCAGGCACGCCTGAGCTCACTTTTTCCAGATTTCAGTTCCTGGAAAAATGCGATCTGCCCTGAACGGACCTCAGAACGAGGGCCTTGGCTTCATAGTGAGAGGACTTCCCCAGGGCCGTGTCCTGTGCCTGCCCAGCTCCCACCTGGCCTCTGGCTGCCAGCAGGTGTCTTGCTGAGGGCTGCTGAGCTGAGCTGAGCCACAAAGGGGCCGGGGGCAACTCTTCCCTCCTCCTCGCCTCTCGTCTTCCCCGCCTTCGCCCTCCTTATCCTGGCCCGCTTGTTCTCTCTGCCTTTATTTAAGGCTGTGTGTGTCCCCAGGGCCTCTGCCCTGGCTAAGCTCATCCTTCATTTCCTCCGTGCCGACATGACAGAGACAGGAGTCCCAACACTGGTCAGCGTCCGTTCCCTGCAGCTCAGATCAGCCCCCCCCCTTGCACCACTCCCCGATACCCACCCACACCAAGGCTTTGCTTAAACACCAACTTTAGACATAAGCGGCTCCCTCCAGCCCTGGCAGCCCTCCCTTGAATGTGTCTCCCATCAGAGCTCCAACAGTTATTAGCAAGTTACTTAACTTCTCTTTGCCTCGGTTTCTGCATCCATCCAGTGGGTACAACTGCGCCTAAATCATACTGCCGTGAAGGTGAGATTTGTTGACACGCATAAAAACTGTGCACCGAGAACGTGCCTGATAAATGCTAGCTTTAATTATTGTACTTTGTGGCATTCTTGGTCCCAAAGAGCTCAAGCTTTGAAGTCATATAAATAAGTGTTTAAATCTCTTCTCTGCCATTTACTGTCTGTGTGCCCTGGAGTAAGTTTTAAACATTCACTGCGCTCTTTCTTTTGTAGTAAAATGAGGGACATCACCCCTGCTTCCTAGGGACGATGGGGACATTGAGTGAATGCATTTGTGGCAGACAGCACCACGCACACCCCACAGCAATAACTGTTTCCTATCCTGCCCCCTTAGCAGGTTGTTTTTGTTTTTGTTTTTGTTTTTTTAACTTGCATTATTATTTCTATCTTTAACTCCCCATTGTGTGCCTACAACACTTATTCATTATCTTCCTCCATCTTGCTACTTCCTTTCTTAAAAATGATTTGTCTTTGATCCTCAGGGAAAGCTGTTTCTTCCATGCCACAAACCTTAGAATTCCAGAAGGCAAGAGACCACTCTTCAGTGCCTTTCCCCTTGCTAAGCTGGGTGTTTTTTGTTTGTTTGTTTTTGAAACAGAGTCTCACTCTGTCATCCAGGCTAGAGTGCCGTGGCATCAGCCTAGCTCACACCAACCTCCAACTCCTGGGCTCAAGTGATCCTCCTGCCTCAGCCTCCCAAGTAGCTGGGACCACAGATGGGTGCCACCATGCCTGGCTAATTTTTTTTTTTTTTTTTTTTTTTTTTTGTAGAGACGGGGTCTCACTCTTGCTCAGGCTGGTCTTGAACTCCTGAGCTCAAGTGATCTTCCCGCCACAGCCTCCCAGAGTGCTAGGATTACATGTGTGAGCCACCATACCTGGCCAACAAAGCTGGGTGAATATTTTTAAGAGGCTGGTTCTAAAAGCAAAGGAGTGTCTCCACTCACCGAGTTGGGATGCCACATTGCGAACAGGGCATGCTTTACCACGGTTCAGGGAGTAGTAATTAAAAGGCGTGTCTCCCAAGTATTCCTAACCCCAAGGAGCCCACTTCTGACACCAATATTGATGCCATCCTACTGGTAGAGGTGTGAAGCACTGGGGATGTCCTATGTCCAATTTCTCCTATCCTCATCCCAGTTTCTCATTTAGATTTTTTTTTTTTTAGTTTATAAATCCCGGACATGGTCCTCATTCCCTTGTTATGCTTGCAAAGTCTCTGCAAGTGCAAAAATGTGGAATTATTCTTGTCAAATCTGCCCCTTCCAGATTGGCTAACTTGAAGATCAGAGCTTTCTGCAGAAGAAAAGACTTCCTGGCTCAATGTGTCAGCTCCTTTTCATGTAGCTAGATCTTTCAATTTGTAGCATAACCCCTGCAGCACTAGAGAGAAAAGATGATATGTCTGAAACGCTGAACTGCGGTCACCCCTGTCTACCATTATGTTTCCACAGGCATTTCTATAAAAAGCTGCAAAACCAAGGGGTCTGAGATCTGACACCTGAAATGGCTGCAGTCACACAAAGGCACCCCTTTTCCTGTCTCTTGCTGATTGACCTACCCATCCTGCCTTTCAGTACACAGCCCATAAGTCTGTATTTAGGGCGATGGCCAGCTGTATACCGTACACACACTCAAAACACTCCTCTCTCTGCTCTTGGACAGCTTCCCCTGTGAGTTTGGTATTAGAACTCAGGACTGTATTCCTGTCTTTCCTCTGCCATTATCCTATCTGTAGGATATTGTATACTTTCTGGGACCTTTCTGATGTTTCTTGCTCTATAAAATACTCAACAATAATGGCAGCTAATATTGAGTACTTGCTGTCTGCCAGATATTATTCTAAGTGTTCTCTGTGTAGATGCATCAATTCTTTTAAAACCTCACCACAATCTTACAAAGGAGGTATTTTTGCAAGAGAGGAAATGGAAGCAAAATTTCTCCCCGGTGGTAAACGGTTCAATGGACTTGAACTCAGAGCCTACATGCTTAACCATAAACGACTCTGATTTCTCTGAATATGTGGTTTGTAACATATGCCAGTACAATCAATTCTCATTATTTGCAGTAGTCGCGTTCTGTAAAGTCATTGCAAACACTGAAACAGCGAATACGGAACCATTGCTCCCCGGGGAAATAAGGAGTTAGGTTCCTAAGAGCCTCTGGTGACATCTTTTTTTGTCAACCAATCAATACATGACTGGTTTAACGTGTGTTTCTGTTTAAAGACATCTATGTAATATATATTGTTGATTCATTAATATGGAACTCCTGGCCAACAGCACTGCAACTCGTGCCTGAAGCAAGCTTTCATAACCTATTTGCTCCATAAGTTCCTTGCACTTAGGAACACTAGGCAGGGCTTCCACATGCCTCCAGGGGGCCTTTTTAAACAGCAAAATCACTGGCAAAAACCACAAAAACATGAAAAACATGGCACTCAATAGACCATGAAAAAGACACGTGTTTCCAGTATCAGAGCTGAAACAAGGCGACAGAGAACCACCTTGGTCCACCTCACCTGGGAATGCACGTTGGGCAACTCAAATGTTTTGCTGTTCTGTACATCCGCCAATGACTCCAGAAGCAATCATGAGCATTGATTTGGGGGTTACAAGTAAATTTCAGAGGGTAGGAGAATTCACAGATATGGAATCTGTGAATAATGAAGATCTACTGCACACAATAGTTGGAGGAAAATCTCAGGAGATCTTAAAACAAGAGTAGAACTAGAAGTTGGGTTGAGGGGAGCACAGCTCAGGCAGGGACACTCTTAGGGGCAAAAGCACTGAGCTGTCCCACTGTCTTCCTGAATTAAAGAAAGAAAATGAAACATTCCGGTCACTCCACATGGCCAGCGAGGTTCCATATCTCAGAAATACCTGTATATGTTGACCCCTCATCTTGGATTTTAGAAAGATGTTTTCATTCATAAATACATGACTTCTATGTCTACAACTTATATTTCTCGTTCTCTGCAATGGATTAGAATGGCATTTGCGTAGCAGGTATTAAATCATATTTTCTTTAGGGAGAAAGTAAACAATTGGTGGGGAAAAAAACAGTGGAGATTCATCCATTCCTGCACCCACGCTCTAGCTCCTGTGGTTTGTAAGCTGAGGAGTAGAGGTGTCTGAGTGGCGGGTGGGGGCCAATCCGGGTTTCTGGCGAGCTTCTTCATAATCAGGCAACTCAGAGACAGTCTGTGGACCCACAGCATTGGCGTTACCTGGGAGTTTGTTACAAAGCCAGACACTCAGCCCCCGCCCCAAAGCTGCTGAAATTGAATCTGCATGTTAACGAGATCCAAATGTGCTTCCCGTATAAATTAAAGTGAGAGAAGTAGACCTTTGCAAAACCAGGCACCGATCCTAGCATCGCCTCGCAATACCAAGCACCTGTTAATTCTCTTCTGCCCCCTGTAATCATAACTCTCACCACAGCTTTTGCATAATGCGAAGGTCGCTGGAACCCTGCTGCAAAGCTCCAAAAAGGCTGAATGGCTCTTGCACCTACCAGGTCACCACTGCGCATGCTCACTCAGCAGCTGCTTGTGTTTATTACCCATGACCAATACCTGGGCTGAAATGTTTACCTTTCAATATAGCTCACTCAGCCCTCTTGACCAACCGTATCGTGTTTCCCCTCGTCATAGATGCTAGATGTCAAATTTTTACTTTCTTAGCTAACTGAGTAGAATATATGCATGAGAATTTTTAATAGTTCACACTTTTTTTTTTTCAGCAAAGCTTTGGCCCCCAATTGTTGCCTAACTCACAGGCCCACGACTCTCAAAACTAGACAATGCAAATTCTCGACGTTTTCTGCACAATTTCTCTTTCCTATAGTTTTCCAATCTGTAAGATAATTGGGAGATAACAGGCTGTCTCGCTATTTCACAGAGGCTTTATAAAGATCAAATTAGAAAGTGAGAAAGTGCTTTTTAAAAAGTATTATGCACATGCAAATTATTTTTATTACTGTTATTAATAAGGATAACTCACAGTATTAATGCTCCTTAACAAATCAGCAATTTGTGAATACACAGGAGAATATAAATGTATGTATTCATTTTCAAACACAAAAATCTTTCGGTATATTTGGTGCTAGAGTTCAAGAATCGCCAGGAGTTGAAGTCTACAGATTAATTGGATCACATCTTGTAGCCATGTGAATATTGCCTTTGACAGTGACTGCTGGACGAGGGCAGACAGACAGATGGACAGACAGACGGCTTCTTTTTCTGTAGTCTGAGGTTCTTAAAATGCAATGAAAGTATTTGGACCATTTTTAATGGAGATGCCATCCTTGATATTTTAGGAGACCATTGGAGACCAGAAAACTCTCAAAAAAACCCTTTTTTTGTGTCGCCCTTGCAAAGCACGGATGCTTGTCACATTTATACCCCATCGTGGAGTCCTTCCCTGCACACAACATATTTTTCAAGCAAGCATACGGACGGCTTTAATGGATAACCTTAACTCCTCCACAAACTCAGAATCTGGGCGCCCCTCAGCTTTCAAAGGTTAAGTAAGATGCGTGTCATTTGGGAAGCCTTTGTCTGAATAGCTGCTGAACATCTCAAAAGCAGTGCCCATACAAGCCCTTAACTCGTGTGGGTTAATGAAGAGTTGTCCCCAGTGCCTAAGTCCCTTCCTCGTGGCAACCAAGGCGTCTGGTGGGGCGCACTTATTCGTCTGTGCCATTAGAATTCAATTTAGTGCCATTCTGCTTCTAGAGCGTACTATCACCAGCACATCTGGCCAAGTCTGCTCCAACACTCAGTGGGGTGCCCAGTGGATGGGAGGAGTGACAGAAAGCACATCCCAGAGCTGGGAGCAGGCTGGCAGGCCCTGAGTTCATCCCTGGAGATAACAGAACCTAAAAGGTTGGGGTTTATTTTTCCCTCTTCCCTTAGTTCTCAGGAGTACTGTTTTCCAGTTAATGCCATCCGGTCTAGGGGCTCAGCGTCCCCCCCCAACATGTCACTCCTGTGCAAGCCCAAGAACAATATCCTGAAACGGCTCAGCTCTGTTCTGCAAGGAACAGGTGACAGCTGCTTCTGATGGCATTCTTCCTGTCTTTTTAAAACTTGACACCACTTTCATTCCGGCATTCTGTTCGTTTTGCTTTTAAGTTTGGTTCAAAATGAAATGTCTGATAAGAACTTTTGGAAGAAAAAAAAAAAAAAATCCCTCATTGAAAAAGAGTCTGCAATTACCCCAGAAGTAATAACATCATATTAATAGATCACCTTAAATTACACTACCTGATCTTTAGGCCTGTTAACAGCTTGGCCTTCTCTCTTTAGAGCAGGCATCCTCGAACTATGGCCCGAGGGTGTTTTTGCCTGTTGGTTTTTTTCTTTTTTTTACTTCAAAATAAGATATGTGCAGTGTGCATAGGAATTTGTTCATAGCTTTTTTAAAACTATAGTCCGGTAGCCCCCGGTTTAAAAAGTTTGAGGACCCCTGCTTCAGAGAGTGGGGCCTGGCACGGAGGATGCAAAGGTGGGAAAGAGCTGATCCCCACCCCAGGATGGTGACAGTAAAGACAAAAGAGTAGGCAAGGCTGGGTGGCTCACGCCTGTAATCCTAGCACTCTGGGAGGCCGAGGCTGGAGGATTGATCAAGGTCAGGAGTTCGAAACCAGCCTGAGTAAGAGTGAGACCCCGTCTTCTACTATAAATAGAAAGAAATTAATTGGCCAACTAATATATATAGAAAAAAAAATTAGCCAGGCGTGGTGGCGCATGCCTGTAGTCCCAGCTGCTAGGCTGACACCACAACACTCACTCTAACCTGGGCAACAAAGTGAGACTCTGTCTCAAAAAAAAAAAAAAAAAAACACAAAAGAGTAGACTCCATAGTGTAACGTGGATGCCATGGTAACGGTTAGTAACAATGGCCAGGAAACAGAGAAAGGGAACCAGCCCCGGGGCTTCCTGGAGGCCTCTTGGAAGAGGTGTTGCCTGTGTTTTAATATCATGAGTGAGAATAAATTAGATGCAGGATGGGGGAAGGAAGTCCCAGGACAGAGTAATTACATGTGCAAATGTACAAAGGTGAGAAAAAAAACCTTCTAGGATGGCCAATGGGGAGCAGCTTGCGATGACCAGAGGACGAGATCTGGAGGAATGTGCGGGTGGAGTGGTGGGCAGATGCCAGGTGCATGACAGGTGAAGGAGTTTTCAGAGAAGATGGAGCAACAGATTCGGGAAATAATTAGGAGGCCGTTTACTGGACGGCTCTAAGGGGGCGCGGAGGGGTCCTGAGGTTTCTGGTTTAAATTCCTGGGCGGGCGGTGCTGCCATTTATGGAAATAGGGAAGCCAGGCGAGAGAACAGGTGGGGACGGTTGTGGATTACACCTTCAGCTTGGAGCCTACAAAACCCGTAAAACATCCAAATATTGCCTAGCATGCAGATGCAGTAATCAGTCTAAAGCTCAAAGGAAAAGCATAGAATACAAGTTTAGGACTTTTTTTTTTTAAAAAAAGGAAAAATATTATCGCTTGGTGACTCTCCTAATTGATTATCTGAATGTTTCAATTCCATATTTTTAAAACCAACTTCTATTCTACATCCTAACCAATGTGATAGTGGTATGGTTTTCATTTCAATAGCAACAATGCTTGTATTTCCTTGAGGGTTTCTTTGTTACTTTCTTCGACGGTTCATATTTTCTACAATGAAGTCCATTATGGTCATTGGTTTCTTATCTATTTAAAAATATAAAATATGTTCATTGGTGATTGAACATCATGCATAAAAAAAAGGAAAGCATTCACCATTAAAAGGGTAATAGTCATATCTCTAAGTTTCAGGTATTGTTGCCTTAAAATAAATCTGGCCCCATTTCATATCCAAATAGCAAAAACAAAATATTATTCGCCCTACACCGGAAGGTTTCATATTATTTGCAAATATATGTCACTTGATGGTTTTTTTGTGTGTGAATAGTTCAATGACTTTTTATTAAGAAGGAACCTTCAATTCCCATTTAAACATATTCTTTCAAATATCTTAGATGATCACCAAAATATTCTTCTAGACATCAATGGAAAAGTTTATGATAACATATTTCAGCTTCTGCTTATTTTTCTTATAATAAAAAGAGAATAAGTGAATCTATATCACTTGTTGCTATGGTAACTAACATATTTCTATATTGGGAAAGAACATGAAATTTTTCTAAATGCATTCTCTATCCTTATGATATATGTTTCTGTATCGACAAGACCGTATACCTTGGGTGACTTTAGGTCCAACTATCTTCCCCACATAGAGACAGATGCCATTGGACCTGATTCTTGGTAATCAATTGGTACACATATGCTGTACACATTGTGCAAGAAGGAAATTGATCACTGTTATTTTTTTTAAATTGGAAATTATTTCTGAGTATTTATGCTTTAACTTTTAAAAAGTTCTATAAATATCTCAGTTTTTAAAAGCAATTTTAAATCTGAAATTCACTGGTAAATCATCGATCTGCCTGCGTCCCAGTCTAGGTTGGCTCTGAATAAGCATGTTGCACATACGTTCACTTACGAAGAAATATTTATGACAACTAAATTTAGAATCTGTGCTAGATTTATAATCTAGAAGGAGGTGACAGTCACAAAACAGATAATTATACAAAATATGGGTAAAGCTACATGCCAGGATGGGAGTAACAACAGTTATCCTAGGAACACAAAAAGGTTATCTAACTTAGCCTGAAGGCATGAAGGGGAATTTAGAGGGGAAAAAGGGAAAAGGGAGAGAAATCAAGAAAGATGATGCCCAAATTAAGTCTTGATGAATGAGGCTTACCTTACAGGACATCTTTGTCTTAAAAAAATAAGAAATAAGAGTAATTACATTTGTAATCAGTGTGAGGAAATAACTATCTCTGTTTTTTCCTTTACCATTCTGTCTTTTGTTGTTATTATTAGAGACTCAACAGAAAACATAGTATCTACAGAGGTAAATAAGTTCTAGTGAACTGAAAAACAAATTAAAAGTAAGAACCATTGAACTAGAAGTTAAGAAACTGACCTTGGAACTATTTCTTTCCCTGCTATTTTATTCACTTGCAATCTGGCCTTGGACAGTTCCCTAACGCCATGCTATGGACTGAGTTTTTGTGTCCCCCAAAAATTCCTTTGGAAACCTAATTCCTAATGTTGTGCTATTAAGACGTGGGGACTTTAGGAGGTGATTTTGTCATGACAGCTCCACCCTTATGAATGCAATTAGTTGCCTTCTAAAAAGGACTTGAAGGAGACTTCTGCCTCTTCCTCATGAGAAAGCAGCAAGAAGTCACCATCTTTCAAGCAGAGAGTCCTCACTAGCCCTGAATCTGCTAGTGCCTCGATCTTGGACTTTCCAACCTCCAGATCTGTGGGCAATACATTTCTATTGTTTAACTGATTGAGCCCCATAAAATCAGAGGTTCCCACAAGGTACCAGTTCTAAGCCAGGCACATGGGAATCAGGGAGGGGTAAGCCTGGGTACTTGACCTTAAAACACTAACAGTCTAGAGATAATAGGAAGATTAAAAATTGCAATGAGGTTGCTGTGGAACACAGAGAAAGAGAACTTAAACCCAGCCTTTGTGTCTCCATTTCTTGATACCAGATGAGTGATATATGAGCAATACCCCATAGGAGCAATGAGATAATTTGACCTGGAACCCACAGACTCATTTTAGAATTATATCCACAACCAAAACATTAAAACAAAGTGGATTGGTATAAAAAGTTATGCTTACATATTTACAATATCTAAAAGGGTATAGCAACACAGAAACATCAGTGGAATAAATTGAAAGTATAAAGCGTTCCCCAAGTGGTGCTATTATCATAAGTTAAAAGTAGCATTTCAATTCATTAAGGAAATAAAATAATATTTAATAAATATTGCTAATCAACCACACAGCCACTTGTTTCAATTAAACATTTAAACATGAGCACAAAAACAACAAATTCCAGAATGTAAAAATACAATGTGAAAGATGTTCTAAAATGACACCTACACCAGAGAACGGAAGAGAAAAAAAGAAATGGCAAAGGGAATACTTGAGTCTGTGAAATTTTTTAAAGCTTCTGCAACATAAGAAGTCATAAAATTTAAAGAGATTTCACAAACTGAGAAAATAATTGGAAAATGTATATTAGGAAAAAATTTAATGCTCTTAATAATTTTTAGTGTATACCATCTTTTACAAATTTGCTTTGCAGTTAAAGAAATATTTTTCAATTGCTAATATGCAGCATTGGTTTGCCTGTGAAGAAACTGTTTTATACAGTATTCTAAGAGGTAAAAATTCTTCCATAGGGTAATTTTGGAATATCAACAAATAGCCTTTATAACACGCAAAACTTTCCATGCAGCATCCTCAGCATTAAGAATATATTCTAAGTAAATAAATAAGCACATCTGTGTACAAACAATGAGTCATCAGGATTTTCAACCAAGTGCTATTAGTAAAGGTGAATAAAAGCCATTACCCAAAATGTCCAAAAATAGATGATCGATTCAATAAATTAGAGTATATGCTGTGCATTTGTTGCTATGGGATAATAATTTTACTTATTACATAGTTATTAAATAAACATTGATAATATTTCTTTTCATGGAGATGTTTTCGTTAAAAAGTTTTAGTGACCACACCAGTCCACAGAACAATAGTTATGCCTACATTTTTGGATTTCTTAAGTTATCTGCTACTCTGATATAATCACCAATGAGTACCTATATTGTGTTTTTTATTGCATTTTGTGCCTAAAACTGAAGCGTAATATAAAGGCCAAAGAACACGGACAAAAAGGGAATGGAAAACATTTGAACATGAGACATGCTAGAGAAGAAAGATTTAACAATGAGCCAGGAGTACTCTGAAAAAGAATTTTGTTTCCAAGTGATTGTTATGGAGCAAAACAAACAAAGGTACGAGTTGGAAATAAATTACAGGTAAAAAAAAATAAGAATAAACTTGCACATAGTCTAAGAAAACGCGGCAGGAGTAGGCAAAGGACAGGAGATGAAGACCAAGGAGAATAGCACATTGATTATTAATCTAATACTCCGGCTTTGGAAGTCAGTCCCAAGACAGAAAAATTAATCAGGAAAAAAAAGATGGCATCTGAGGCAGAACAGGAAAAAGACTTTCTGAGGGAGAAAAAATAGAATGTTTCAGGAGCCTTAGTGCAAGGGTTCACAAACTGTCACCAACCTGTTTTTGTACAAGGTATGAGCTAAACATTTTTAAATGGTTTAAAAAAAAAAAATCAAAAGAATAATGTTTCTTGACATGTGAAAACTGTATGTGATGCAAAAAAAATCCCAGTGTCTATAAATAAAGTTTTATTGGAACAATACCACATGCTCATTTGCTTTTGTGTTGCCATGGCTGCTTTAGCACCCCAAGGTAGAGTTGAGCACTGCAGTTGCAACAAGTCTCTTAAAGCACTGGGGAAGAAAATAAGATGCCTCCTCCCTGGCCATCGATTGGCTGCATTGGCAAGCTCGCGTGCGCCTCTGAGCCAATCAGTGTGGCCAAGTGGGGAGGGACAAAGCCCCTTAGAACTTCCTGGGGCCGGAAGTGGGGGGAAGCCATGTTAACCAAGGAGAAAAGATGGTAAAGTGTATCCGACCCGTGCGTGTGTCGACCTTTCCTTCCAACTTCCGCTCCAGCCACCTCCTCTGAGAAGCCCACAGACTGATTTATGGTGACTTGTGGGCCCTTTCTCTGTAATTCCAGGGCATTTTGGTTGTACCTCCAAAATGGTAAATGCTTTGAGGGTAAAGCTGAGTAAATGCATTGAGGGTAAAGTTTCTTCACCTTTATCGTGTGGGTCTTCCCCACATTTCCAGCACATATTAACGTGTTCAGTAAATATTCGTTGAAACAGTTAATATACAAATGAATAACAAGCCCCTTATGGGATCAAACACAAGCAAGGTTCAAACAACGTGATAAAATACTCAGCATCCCTATCCATCAGGAAATTGCAAACCAAAACCACCATGAGATATCATCATCTCGCCCCAGTTAACAGGGCTGCTAAACAAAAAATAACGACAGTTGGCAAGGATGTGGAGCAAAGGAAACGCTTATAACGTGGTAGGTGGGAATGTAATCTAGTCCAGCCACTGTGGAGAAGAGTATGGAGGTTCCTCAAAAAAACTACGGATAGAACTATATACCGTATAACCCAACAATCGCACTACTGGGTATATATCCAAGGGAAATGGTATCAGTATGTCGAAGAGATATCTGCACACCCATGTCTATTGCAGCGCTATTCACAGTAGCCAAGATGTGGAATCAACCTAAGTGTCCATCAACAGATGAATGGATAAAGAAAATGTGGTACATATACCCAGTGAAATACTATTCAGCCATAAAAAATGAAACCCTGTCATTCACAAGCAACATGAATGAGCTTGGAGGACTTTGTATGTTAAGTGAAATAAGCTGAGAACAGAAAGATAAATACCACGTGTTCTCACTTATATCTGGAAGCTAAAAATGTTGATCTTGTAGAAGTAAAGAGTAGAGTGGTGGTCTGAGAAAGGTGAGGGGAGCTGAGGACGGAGACAGGTTGGTTAAAGGATACAAAATTACAGCTCAATATGAGGAATAAGTTCCAGTATTCTGTAGCACACTGTAGGATGACTATAGTTCAAAATAATTTATTATATATTTTCATATAGCTAGAAGAGAGAATTTTAAATGTTTCTAATACAAAAAAATAAATGTTTGAGGTGATGGATATGCTAATTACCTTGATTTGATAACTATACAGTGTATCAAAACATAACTATGTACCAAATAAATATGTACAATTATGCGTCAATTAAAAAATGAGTTAATATTTTAAAAAACAAAGACAAGGTTGATTGGGTAGATGAAAGGTAGGGCTAGATATTTTTATGAATTTTCAAATTAATTTAATTTAATTGAACTATCATTTATAAATCCAAAATATATGTATGTTTTATATATATGTATCTATAAGTGTATATATATGTGTGTATAGGTATTCCAATTTTAGGAAAATAATTAAAATTACTGATGATATAAACAATTTTCATGAGTTAAAATTGTTCCATTGGGAATACAAGGCTGGTTCAACATTCAAAATTCAATCAATGTAATTTACTATAATAACATACTTAAGAAGAAAACAAATCATCGCAATAGGTTCTAAAAACATGAATTCATGATAAAAAACAAAAATTCCTAGAAAACTAGGAATACAGTGGTGCTTCTTTTAGCTGATAAAGGGCATCTATTAAAAAAAAAAACTATAGCTAATTATGCTCAATGGGAAAAAACTGCATAATTTCCCTTAAGATCAGGAACAAGGCAAAGTGTCCTCTTAAACCTCTTATTCAATATTATACTGGGAGCCTTAGATAGTATAATAAGCCATATGAAAAACTTCTCAAAGAATCTATAAAAATTCTCTGAGAAATAGTAAGTGATTTTTAGAAAAGTCATAAAAAAACTGGAAATCAGAAAATGTTTTAAGTTACATTTATGATAATACCAAAACACAGCAATACCTAAGTATAAAAATATCTTTAAAAATGTGTAGGATCTGTATGCTAAAACTACAAAATACCAATTAAAGAAATCAAAGAAGATCCAAGTAAATGGAGATATACACTATGTTTAAGGAATAGAAGACTCAATATTGTTCAGATGTCAGTTCTTCTGAAATTGAGCAATAGGTTTAATTCAGTCCCAGACAAAATCCCATCAGGATTTTGTTTTCTTTTGCAAATATCACCAGCAATTCTGAAATCTGTATAGAAAGGTAAAGGAATTAGAATAGTGAAAACAATTTCTGACAAATTTCTGACTTGTATCCAGAATACATAAAGAACCCCCAATACTCAACAAGAAAGCATTAAACAGGCAAACAAACTCACCAATTTTGAAAATGGCAAAATATTTGTACAGATACTTCATCAAAGAAGATATACAGATGGCAAATGAGAACATAAACAGATGCTGAAAATTATTAGGCATTAGGGAATTGCAAATTAAAACCACAATAAGATACCATTATACACGTATTAGAATGGCTATTATCAAAAAAAACACTGGCAATACCAAATCCAGACAAAGATTTGGAGCAAGTGAAATTTTCATATACTATTGGTAGGAATACTAAATGGTATAGCAACTGCAGAAAACAGTTCGGCTATTTCTTATAAAACTAAACCTACCCTTACCATAAAACCCAGCTATCCTACTCCACAATATTTACCCTAACACTTACTTTCACATAAACACTCGTGCACAGTTATAACAACTTTATTCATAATTACCAAGAACTGGAAACAATCCAAATGTCCTTCAACCAAAGACAAGATTATGAATAGAATATGAATATTTTACATACATATGATGGAATACTATGAAGCAATAAAAAATGATCTGTTGATTCATGTCACAACATGAATAAATCTTAAATGTATTTTGCTGAGTTAAAGAAACATGACCCAAAAGGCTAACTATTGTATGATTTTTAATGTATAACATTCAGGGAAATGCAAAAATATAGTGGTTGTCAGGATTTCATGGGGACTCTGGGGTGGATGAATGGATTGACCATATAGGGGTAGCACAAAGGGAATTTTAGGGTGATAGATTATTCTGTATTGAACTGTGGCAATGATTACATGACTATATATCTGGAAAAACCCATAGACCTGTACACTACAAAGAATGAATTTCACTGTAGGTAAATAATGCTTTAAATTTTTTTGGATTGGTCAAGATAGGGGAAAAAAAGTAAAAAAAAAATTATATAAATAAATAACTTGTGTTATATAAATATATGATTCAAATGGAATCAGTCTTAGTGTGAGGTCAATATCTCTCAGTGTATCATAATTGATCAGTGTTTAATTTTTTTTTTTTTTTTTTTGAGATGGGGCCTCACTCTGTCGCCCAGGCTAGAGTTCAGTGGTATGATCATAGTTCACACCTCACACTCCTGGGTTCAAGCCATCCTTCCAACTCAGCTTTCCAAGTAGCTGGGACTACAGGCATGTGCCACACCACCTGGCTAATTTTTTAATTTTTTTTTTTTTTTTTTTTTTAGAGACAGGGACTCGCTATGTTGCCCAGCCTGGTCTCGAACTCCTGACCTCAATCAGTCCTCTCATCTCAGCCTCCCAAAGTGCTGGGACAGACGTGAACCACCACGCCCAGCCCAATATTTAAATTTGATCAGAAAAAGTAAATAAAGCAAATATATACAGAGTTAATTGAAAGGAAGAATATTTGACTACAATCTTCCTTAAAAAATAAACCTGTGTGAATGTATACAATCTAGCAAAAACAAAGTTAATCTGGTTTGGCCCAGTCATTTAGATAAATATCATTAGTAGAGTTGAATCTAATTAAATTAAAAATTCCCAGCCTTTCACATCAGATACATCATAAAATAGTGAGAAAAGTCTACCACATATTTCAGGAACATATTGGCAAAGAGTTTGGCCATTGTCATAGCAATATGCACTGATTGAAACATTTTTGGCCCTACCAATAACACAGTGCATCATTCTAAAGGGTTTGTGAATGCTTTGAACTGTACCCAGCTGGCTTCTGCAGAACAGAGTATGTTGCACCTGCTAGTAACCTCAGGAGGTTGCTACAGTGGTTTGCTTTATAGATTATCAGTCTGTTGTACTGCCATTAGGGTTGACAAGGCTAATATCCTACCGTGGGTTCTTTCTCTGACCTCCAGAGATTATAAAATGACATTCAGCAGATTTTAGATGTTTAAAACATGCTGGTACTGTTAACACTATTTTCGCTTCCAGTTGCAAAGCTCGCTGGGTAAAAATTCCAAAGACCCTGCCCAGGTTCCTATAAAGCAGTAAAATGGGAATTTGCTGCTTTCTTTTTTCCATCTAATGTTCTTCTCCTCTTTAATGGCAAAAAAGGATCCTGCTCACTATTTCTCTATTTATAGCGCAGACAATTCAACTCCAGGCAGGCGGTTCTATTGAAAGATAAACAAACTTGTAAGGGACCCCCGCTGGGTTGTAAATGGCCAACTGTGCTGACATGGCTGGGGGCAGGTGACCAAGCCCCATCCTGGGATGTTGGTCATTTGCTACAGAGCCGGAGACCCACAGCGTTTTGGGCTAAGGGACAGCTGGTGCCTTCAGCATTTTTCTCTCTTAACAAAAAGTCAGAACCAGTAGCCATACAAACTGGTTAAAGATATCGGTTAGGTTTTCATCTAATAGACCAAACCCCAAAATATCACCTTTACTTCCTCTGACTAATGGGCTTACTGATCTCTGAGGATCCTTTAGAGGACTGTGTTGAAAATTCTTGTCTTTGAAAAGGTGATTTGGGCCAGTTGAAGCAACTTCTGGTCTGTCAGAGCCACGTGACTTCCTCTCCCATGTTCCTTGCGTGTATCTTCTCACCACTGGGGCAGGATTTTGTACTTTCTTATATAAAAGGAGAAGATAGAGAAGGATAAGAATTCCTATCCCTGGAGTGGATTTCTGCATCTCTTTTTCCATTTTCCATTCTAATCCACATTTCCTTGGATACTCATATCACCTAGTTAGTAAACTCATTGGATCTTCTTGTCTCCTAATTAATTAAACCCACTACTGTGCTATGAGGCAGTTCTTTTGCTCACAAATCCATCCCTCACAATTGTATTTTGACCACCTCCCATCCAAGGCTTCTTCTCTGGTTTCACTACATATCAAGAATGCCTACTGGCAAACTAACATTTTTCCAAAGTGTGGCCCAATCCAGGGCACAGACAGTTATTGTTCATCCGGGAATGGAGAACTTGCCCCAAGGGAGATGGGGGTATTACAATTAATTGTCATTAATTAAATGACAATTAATTAATTACAATGGAGTTGGCATGTCTGGATATGGTACTGAAATACTTTGCGTATTGAGAATATTTTTAGACCAAAAGGGAGAAGTAAATCATGGCAGAATATGAAGCTGGCAAGGTATGTTAGGGTCAAAACACAGAGGAACTCACAGTATAATGGGAGTCCCTCAAAGTTTATAGCAGAAAACTAGCATCTTCAGATTTCCATTTGAGTACACTCTGGAAGCACAAAGGCTGGGCATGAGACAGATAAGACTCTGGACCATACAGTTAGCTACAGGGTTACTGTCATAATTCAGGAGAGAGAACATACCTAGAGCATTGGATGTAGAAAGAAGTACCTGAACGCTTTTAAGAAGTGAGTTTTAAGCCAGGCACGGTGGCTCACGCCTGTAATACTAGCACGCTGGGAGGCCGAGGCGGGAGCAGATGATCTGGCTGCTCTTCCATCCATCTCATGCCTTGGACCACCACGGTCTGGTGGCCATCAGCACGGACCTCTGTGAGCCGGGACCCCCAGGAGCCATTCTGGCTTTGCTCCACCTGACAGTGATGATGGACACCCAGCCTCTGACGGTTAAACGTTGCCACTTGGCCTTGAATATTCTAGAATCCTCTCATCCCACAGACACTAGGAAGCCCAGTTTCAAAACAGCCTCTGCCACTATTAAGCCTGACTATGCAGTGCCATCACCACTAGGCTTTCTCCATCAATAAAAGGAGATTGGAGACAAAAGGAAGTATGTCACTGGCCGATTTTTGTTTGACAAAGACAAGATCCAAACACTTGGCTGAGTGTGAAGAAAGCACTTCCTTGTCTATTACAAAACGAGAGTGCTTCTGATCCATACCTGGAAAGGTTCTTAACATACCCCTCCCCGCCGAAACCTTGAAGAAGTTAGTGCCCACTATCTCTCTCTCTTCATTTGCTAGCCGAAGGATGGCCTTTTTTCTTTTCCAAGTAGCATCTAACTGGCAGCATACATGGTGATGAAATTGGTTAGGTATGGAGGATGAAGGCAATTTTAATACTGAAATTTCTTGAGTCCAGAACATTTCTTTTTGTACGTGGAAGTGTAACTTAAACAAATCGATTCCGTCTGATTAAACTCACTTTACATGGTCAATGTACCGTACTGTTTCTACCCGGGCGCTTTCCCCCCAAGATCACAGGAAGAGCATTTAGACGTTCGTTTTGCGAGTCACCCTGATGCACAGCAAATCCAGTCGATTCAAAAGGAGACATTGCATTAAATTAATTCAGCTTCAAGTTCAAAGGCTCTTCATGTATGATAAACAACACTGAAGGAAATGATAAGCTACAGTGTCACATTTCATTTAATATCTAAATCCAGTGGCGGCGAGGTTATATTTAACTCACAATAGCCTTGCTATATACGCATACAGCATAGCTCCTTAGAGGAAGGAAAAAAAAAAAAAAAAACTCAAAGAACCTGGAGTTGGCAACTATAATGTGAAGTTATAAATGATTTAGAGCAGTGGTTCTCAACGTTGGCTACACTTTATATTCACCCGGGGAGCTAGTAAAATTCCCAATTCTCTGGCCTCACCTGAGACTAATTAATTCAGAATGGCTGGGGTGAAGACCCAGGCATCAATAGTTTTTAAATCTCCCCAGGTAATTCCGATGTACGAGCAAGGTTGCGATCCTCTGATTTAGAGAGTGGTTCTCAGAGGCTCAAAGCACCTGGAGGGCTTGTAAAAACTCCGATAACTGGATCCCACCCCCAGAATGGCTAAATCAATAGGTCTAGAAATTGCATTTCAGACAAGGTTTCAGGACCACTTCGAGAGTGACTGCTTTAGAAGAACCCAGTAAACCTCAGATAGGATGAAAATCCTATGGGATTATCATTGATAGGGCCAAACAAGGCTAACAAAAGATGCTTCTCAGTAATTTTATGGGAAAAGAAACCAAAGCAAAACATCTACGACATGTCAGTTCTGTAGACGCATAAGCTGGTCTAAATAAACAAATGGCCCAGTTATAGAAACCCGACACCTAAGAGAAGGAAAAATTCAACAAGCCTGAGAATCTAAATATGAGTGTGTAGCTGAAAGAATAGAAGAAGATGTTTGTGATTTGAAGGATTTTGGCCAAGTAAGAAAAGGAGAAAAATCTAAAATGTTCATTAGTTAGGTGATCTCAGGAACAATTTTATAGGTGTCTTTTATTATCAGCATTAAGGGAACAAAACGAACTAGAAAATACATCTCTAATAATGACAGCGATGATGATCAATTTAAATCCATCTTAAAATATATTTCACAAGCTTATATTTGGCTGCTCAAATATTCATGTTCTGCAGACTTGAAATCTTTTGTAAAGTATAACCAAGCCTCTGGCCGGCCACGGTGGCTCACGCCTGTCATCCTAGCACTCTGGGAGGCCGAGGCAGGTGGATTGCTCGAGGTCAGGCGTTCGAAACCAGCCTGAGCAAGAGCGAGACCCTGTCTCTACTATAAATAGAAAGAAATTAATTGGACAACTAATATATATAGAAAAAATTAGCCAGGCATGGTGGTGCATGCCTGTAGTCCCAGCTACTCAGGAGGCTGAGGCAGAAGGATTGCTTGAGCCTAGGGGTTTGAGGTTGCTGTGAGCTAGGCTGATGCCATGGCACTCACTTTAGCCTGCACAACAAAGTAAGACCCTGTTTCAAAAAAAAATAAAAAATAAAAAAGTATAACCAAGCCTCAAACAGAAGATGACCCGTGTTCAATTCTTCCCCTGTCTATACCAAGACTGAATAGCATCATCAGTACGATGCCTACCACAAAGCGAGCCCAGGGAGGGGATTCAGGAAGCAAAGGCTGATGGAGAATAGGTCCTGGGTAGGAACAGCTGTTTTCATCCTGAGATTTTTATCAGTCGGTCGGTTGGTTGGTAAGTTCATCAGTTGGTTTGCTGGCACACATTATGGATGTGACATGCGTTAGTTCAGGGAACTCTAAACTGGTTCTCAAATGAAGGCTCCCCCGACTTCTGGTCTCTGTCTTCTCGTCCCTGATGTCATCGAGGTTAATCGGGAAAGCACAAGAGGACAGAGACGACCTACAGAGAAGCGGCTGAGACCAGACAGGTGCTGAACTCTCTGCAGTGGGGGAAATTCTCCATGCATCTCTGCACTTCCGCACATCTTGTAAACAAGACACACTGACAGCTTTCATTCCAGGCTGTCTTTTCTTCCAGACTATCCAGGTGCCGGCATCCTGAACACAGACTGTCTCTCCCCAGGACAGAAGGTATGTGTGTTGCTGACCATATAACAAGGATAATGCCTCCTCCTGATGCAGAGATTGGGCAGCCTTGTTTGTAGCCGCTTTAAAAGATCAGGATTTCCTAAGCTTGGGGCTCCTGGATTCTGCCGCAAACCCACCTCGTGGGCAGAATCTGCCTGGCCCTACCTCAATATCACTGTGGGATGTCAGGGGAAAGGGGGAGTGATGTGAACATGAAGCTCTGGCTGCCATCTGTGTCATGAGTGATAAAATCCTTTGTGTCCGATGTAGGAGTTTGGGGCCCATGAAACTGTGTCAGGCTAACTTGCTGGCTTTCAAGTATGGCAAAATTCCAGACCTTTCACAGTGCTAAAAAATATCAAAGTCGGCCGGGCGAGGTGGCTCACGCCTGTAATCCTAGCACTCTGGGAGGCCGAGGCGGGCGGATTGCTCGAGGTCGGGAGTTCAAAACCAGCCTGAGCAAGAGCAGGACCCCATCGCTACTAAAAATAGAAAGAAATTAATTGACCAACTAAAAGTATATATACAAAAAATTAGCCGGGCATGGTGGCACATGCCTGTAGTCCCAGCTACTTGGGAGGCTGAGGCAGGAGGATCGCTTGAGCCCAGGAGTCTGAGGTTGCTGTGAGCTAGGCTGATGCCACGGCACTCACTCTAGCCAGGACAACAAAAGTGGACTCTGTCTCAAAAAAAAAAAAAAAATATCAAAGTTACAAATGCATCTGTACGTGCATGGTTAACGTGACTCTGTTTTAACAAGAGAAAAGTATAAAGAACCAAACTATTAATGGGGGGGGAGTTGTTAAAGAAATTATGGTACATTCCTGCAATGCACCCTTAAAGGAAGAGTGTTATGGATATCTGTGAACCAACATGGAAAGAAATCAAGATATTTTGTTAGCAAATACATTATATATTATTATATATTATATACCTTATGTATTATATAGATACAAAATTGAAAACCCCAAACTACTGCCAATGCTTCTTTATGGGGAAGAATTTTAGAAAAAAATTTGCCTTCTATTTTTTATATTTTGCAGTTATTGCATTGTTTACTACATAACATTTTAACTTTTACATTGCAAATATAATGAACATAACTTTTAAGAATATGTTTTAAAGTGATACAAAGGACAAGGATAAACTGAAAACACAGTTACCAGAAATAAATACTGTATTTCCCACCATCCCTCCCCCCAGCAAGGAATTATCATGTGATCAAGTTCCTATCAAAGAAATATAAGCAGATGTATCTTGTGTGCCTTCCACTGAGTATCTTTAAAGAGACAGAGCATTTCTTTCTTTATATCTTCCTTCTCCCAGGAATGCATACTTGATGGCTGGAGCAACAGCAATTAACTGTGACCATGAAGCAAAAGCCACACGTTGAAGATGGTGAACATGTAGAAGATCAAAAGAGCCTGGGCTCCTAAGACCACACGGTACTATGCCAGTCCAGTATTCCTAAAATCCAGACTTCCAGGAGATGAGAGAAAAATGAACTTCAATTGCTTTTAGCTATTGCTATTTTGGATTTTGTGTGGCACTAAGCTGAACCATATCCTAAAATTTACAAAGGCAAGGAATCAGGTCTGTATTTCAAGCCTTGGTTACTAAGAAAATGTTGGCACTATGAACATAAATCCAGCAAGAAAGAATATCATAACTAGCATGTGATTTCAGAAGGAGAAAGTAAATACTGTATGGTAATTTCTGAAGTCCTGGCAGAACTCTGAGTATTCTATCACTGTTTACAGAAAACTAATAACCTGCTGATATCATGACAGGCTACGTTGAAAAGACTCCTTTTGAAGCTGTCTTCCAGAATGTCGGAAGTGAATCACACCTCTCTCTTCAATAAACGAGTTGCATTAACTTCCCAAAAGACCAGAAAATTAACACAGAATGGAGAAACCTACTTCCCAGTGAAAGGACATTTAATTAGTAGAACTATAAAAGTTACTTTCCTAGCTTTAGTTTTCAATTTGGAACTTTTCTGAATAGCTATTACACCATCGTTGACAAGAATGTACAGAAAAATCAATAAGCTGAAAAGTTCAAGGTGGTATAATATGACTAAACTTGGAAATATTGTGCAATATGGTATTATACTGAGCTAATCCTACTAGATTTTTTTCTTGTTGCTACAATCCCTCTTAATGCATTGTAGTCCTCAGGTAATGTGCTTTTGTTTTAAGGCAAAGCCATTTCTGTGAAGCAGGGACTGATCCCTTGGGGAAATTTGATCTCAAGTCTTTTTTTTTTTTTTTTTTTAAGCAAAGTGACTGTTAAATTATCGAGATAACCCCTGAAAAGTCAGAACTCATTCACAGTGAATTCTTGGTGTGTAAAATCAAGAATTAGTGAATTCATGAAATAATAAATGCAGCAGGGTTCTTTCCAGATCAGTAAATAGAGCATAGGTTAAGCCATGATAGGAGTTGGATCATTCTGGAGCACAACAATATATATGTTTCCTATGTCTTTGAAAAGACAGATCGACTCTTTATTTTTTAGGGGGAGGGAAGAGGGGTTCTTTGTATTCTTTGAATTTTTCCTTCAAAAAGCTTGATTCTGGCAAAGAGAACCAAAGGAGTCAATGTGCAGAATGCAAAATATGCAGGTATTTTCACATCAGAGTCATTGCTGGGGGTGTCCAGATGTATGGGTCAAGTGCTTGAAGATCAGGGATAGTTTTCCCAGGACCTGCAAAGTAGACTGAAAAGACTGAAAAGGCAAGACAGCCAAGGGGTAGGAGCCCAAGGGTCTCAGGCAGATTATCAGAGAGAGACTCTGAGATGCTCATTTGAACCCAGGTGATACAAGTCAAAGAATTCTGCACCAGAAACCCTGGCATCAAAATTGAGGCTCCCTTTGGTTGGGAAACAATGAAGGACCCTGGTGGAAAATGAATCCTGAGATTGGGACTAAATATGGAAACTTGATGAATATAATGAGCCCTAAAAAAAATAAAAGTAAGAAGAAAACCAAGAATAAGAAGAACAAAAAAGTAGAAGAGAGAGAAGAAGGAAGAGGAGGAGGTGTAGGAGGAAGGGAGAGGAAGAGAAGGAGAAATATTTAATAATTTTTTTTATTATTATATGCAAGAAACTGTTACAGCTAGTTTCTCTATATTTTCTGACGGAGTCCTTCCAACCCCATTGTAGGGGGTTAAATGGCGGTCCCCAAAGAGATACATCATGTCCTAATCCTCAGAACCTCTCAAACCTCTGGGAAGAAAAGATCTTTGCAGATGTCATTAAATTGAGGATCTTGAGATCATCCTAGGTTACCCAGTGGGCCCTAAATCCAATGACAAGTGTCCTTTTAAGGGACACACAGAGGAGACTGACAGTAGAGGAGGAAGCAAAGCAACCATGTAGGCAGAGATTGGAGAGACGCAGCCACAAGCCAAGGAATGCCAACAACCACTAGAAGCTGGAAGAGGCAAGCAATGGAAAGGAATTTCCCCCTAGAGCCCGTGGAGGGAGGGAGGGTGTTGCTGCTGGCCCCTGGATTTTGGATTTCTGGCCTCCAGAACTGTGAGAGAAGAATATATTTCGTTTGTCTTAAGCCACCAGGTTCATGGTCCTTAGTTACAGCAGCCACAGAAAACTAACACACCTGTGACATAGATAGCACCATTATCTATGTTTTGCAGCTAAGGAAACAAAACCTCAGAAAGGTGGAAAGAGCTGCCCGGGTTTACTTAGCTGTCAGATTGCAGAAGGATTGGGATGAATCCAAGCAATCTGGGTCCGGAGCCCCCAGCCCCATCCCCTGCACTATCTCCTAGATTCGCAAAACCGGGAGTTATTCGGTGTGTCATTCCATTCCATAAAGAGGAAGCTGGAGCTGTTTGCTGGCTTCCATCAAAGGTCAGAAAACACGGCAGGCTGGAACTTGCAAGTTATCAGTGCTTCTTGCTGCAAAAAAAAAAAAAACTGGAGAAAGAGATGAAGATACTATGTAGGCGAGCAGACAACTGCTGCAATAATGCAACACCCATTAGGTGCTCGTGGTTATCCTATTTGGCTAACACAGAGGATTTAAACCAGTAAGCATGATTTTCAGAATGTGTTATGAAGCCAGAAAATGATTTAAAAACATAAATCCAATAGAAATATTTTAATGCAGAAAATAATGTGATTATAGAGATTTATCATCCCCTTTGTCAGAAATACAGATAATCTCAACATTACTGAGTAGACTCAAGGAGGTATAAAAATATCCGTGTGACTTTGGTACCCAAAATAGAAGACGAGAAAGAAGATGTTATACTAGAACCGGAGCAGCCAGGCTTGGATTTGTGGGGCAACAACAGCACCGACATCAAACCTTGAGTTAGGATTCAGGACCCACGGGAGGAAGAGGAGGGTGAGATCCTGACCCCACGTGTCACTAAGCTCTCATCAGAGGATAGCGGGTCCCTCAAGATGTTTTTTCTTCTGATTTCTTCCTCGACGTGCCCTGGGCCACCTAACTTCCCTCCTCAGCACTTGAGATCCACAGGCATAGACAGGGAAGTGGCTGTTGGTTACTGACAAATATTGAAAAATGTGGTTCCCCACAACCAAAAAACGTGATTTATAGTGTTTGCCAATGTCCACAGTGTAAACACGCCCACTGGGGCGACTGTCATGCCATTATTGGATCTGCAGTAGGAAAGAGATGTACCATCGCCCCCCTTACATTGTATTTCCACCACACAGATGCTTTCTAGATATATAACCTCAAGAGTGCAGAAAATAAAATAATTAGGAAGTGATGTTTTGAGTATTTATTACATCTGTTTTTTCATATAATTTAATTATGCTTATATAATTTAATTTTTAATGAAAGCTCCGTGTTTAACAACAGACTTACAAAATTCCTGAACGTTTTAATTTTTAACAACAGATTTGCAGAAGTCCTGAAAGTGTAACAATTAAAACTCGTGGGCCAGAATGAGCTGCCTTCATTCGCAAAAGTTAGATATCCGGCCAGCCTGACGGTTGCATTTTCTCTCTGACCACCTGTCTCCACAGAATTCTTCTCTGTCATTCACTAATTGCTTCCCTGGTTTTTCTCCCTATTTATTTATGACACAAGGTATATGTGTCAGCACTTGCTCCAAGTCACCTTCCAAATCAGTCTCCACGAGCCTCAAACTTTCATGTCAAAAAAGAGCTGGTCAAAGTTTTGGTTTTGTCTGTTCGTTTCCACAGAAATTGTGCTCAGCCTAAAAGGAATCCGGGCCGGGCACGGTGGCTCACGCCTGTAATCCTAGCACTCTGCGAGGCTGAGGCGGGCGGATCCTTTGAGGTCAGGAGTTCGAGACCAGCCTGAGCAAGACCGAGACCCCCGTCTCTACTAAAAATAGGACGAAATTAGCTGGCCAACTAAAATATATATATAGAAAAATTTAGCCGGGCACGTTGGCGCGTGCCTGTAGTCCCAGCTACTCGGGAGGCTGAGGCAGGAGGATCGCTTCGGAGGGGGCCAGGGAGTTGGAGTGTTGCTGCGAGTGAGGCTGACGCCACGGCTCTCTAGCCTGGGCAACAGAGTGAGACTCTGTCTCAAAAGAAAAAATAAATAAATAAAAGGAATCCAGAGCTCTTTGGCAAACGCATGTTGGCATGTTGGCAGCACTCACCACGTCAGCAAGCACACTAATGCCATTAGTTGGTTCAGTGTAGGTGCAGCCTCAGCCCCCATTTCCAGGGCTGACGTGGATGTTTGAAGGCCAGCTGTACTCTGTCACCTGGGTGCAGTTAAAGCTCCCCCCCCACCTGTTCCTCCTCTCACCGACCCCAAACCCGCACACCCCTCAGCTGCTGACCATGAGAAACCTCAGGGTCAAAACCTGAGTCACATAAATAAGTCGCCCACTTTGCACGTGTTTGCTTTAAAGCAACTAATCCGCGGCCCGTGGGAAAGCCAGGGGATCGCGTCCACACACCTTAATAAAAGCCTAGTCCCACGGTTCCTCCCTGTTCCCGCTGGTCCACTGCCTGAGGTCCCCGCTGCTTCCGGATGTCCCCTGGCCACCCCAGCCGCTCTGGAAACCGTAAGTAATCGATTTTTTTTTCTGTTTCATGTGTTTTGGTTTCACAATCTTGTTCTGTCTCACCCGAGTGACACACACAACCCGCCTAGGGTGCCCTCCTACGGAGTGGCTGTCTTGGCTGTGGTCACTCTCAACAGGGAGACCACAAAACCAAATTGCAGAGACACTATACCAGTAAAACTCACAACAGATAAGGAACACATTGCTATCCAAAACCAGGACAAAGGAGTCCGTCAGAAACCTTGATGGACACCACAGGAGTTTGATAAACACAACAGACACATTCCAGGGCGTAACAGAAGGTAGTTGAGTTTATGTCGCATCCAGAAGTCCATAGGGTGACCACGGAACAGAGCCAAGATTCTCACCCAGGACGGCACTTGTGATAGCTTTCTATTAAGACAGAAACCATCATGAAACAAGGGCATCCCAAGCCTACAGTTAAGTCAAAACAAATGACCAAAAGGAGAGAGAAGTGTATAATGTCTGAAAACAGAAACTGATAACCTGTCTCTACCTATTAGGTGATTTTAGGAGCCCAGTGTAGCATTATTTTTTTTTCTTTCCTTGAGACAGAATCTCACTCTGTTGCCCGGGCTAGAGTGCCGTGGCATCAGCCTCGCTCACAGCAACCTCAACCTCCTGGGCTCAAGCGATCCTCCTGCCTCAGCCTTCCGAGTAGCTGGGACTACAGGCGTGTGCCACCATCCCTGGCTAATATATATATAATTTTTTTTTACTCAATTAATTTCTTTCTATTTATAGTAGAGATGGGATCTTCCTCTTGCTCAGGCTGGTCTTGAACTCCTGACCTTGAGCAATCCACCTGCCTCAGCCTCCCAGAGTGCTAGGATTATAGGCGTGAGCCACTGCTCCCGGATGTGTTGTGTTATCTTTTCATCAACCACACTACTTAGTAGAGATTGTCTAATAACGTCGTACTTTAATTTGTAGGGAGAGTAACTAGAGCTCACGTTCAGAACAGCCGTACACCTGAAGGCGCTTGCACTGCCCAACTTCAGGTGGTGCTGTTTAGAGCCAGCGGGGGTGCTGGCATGCCACCATTCCTTACGTTAAAAAGTTACAAAGCCAAAAATTCACGACACGTGTAACTTCAATTTCCCTTCCCATAACAAGTAACTGTGTGGTATTTCAGATGTGCGAGTATAAGAAACCTAGAATAATCCTATACTGTATTAAAGTAGCCCATTCCTTATGACTTACCCCAAATTCATGTTTTCTGTATTACAATTACAGACGTGCTCATCTTATGCCATTGAGATAGCGCCAATTTTATACCAAAAAAGTATTAGTAGTCTTTAAGACGTGTGCATGTACGTTTGTGTAATTGCAGAATATTACAAAACACATGCGTATTACCTCACTTCTCTGAAAATGGTCTTGTCTTACTGTATTACATCTAAGAAGAAAATGATACATTGAACATGGCATAATAGGCAAATTAGTTTGAAATCTATTTCAGGTAAAAATCTCGTTTTACTAAGCTTGAGTGGATATCAAAATTGCTACGGTGTAGTCAAGTATCAAAATAAGAGTTTATTTCTATAGCATACACGGGACCCTGTTGTTTACTGGGTCTTGTTTGTTTATATAAAGTGGATGTTTAGTACACACTCATCCTACAAATAATACCTAACCCACCTTTTGCATTGTTACATCAAGAAGAACATGTTATATGGACTTTGAAGCTGTTTCTTGGAGTAAAAAATACATTTGCATCTCTATGGGTCTGATTTTTCTCGGTGTGCATTTGAATTTAAGTATGAGAGATTCTTAATGAAATTTAATGTTATCTAAAATGGCTTCTTGGTGATAAATGTGTTCAATATGTGCCCATTATTTGAATGTGTTCTTCTAAAGCATGCTTTTCCATATTTGGCTCGAGGTTGTG